CCCCTTAGGGGGCATCTGTATAGCCCTTAAGTCTCTCAGACCTTTATTAAACTTTTGTATCTTATAAAAATTCTGGTTATCTGTGACTCCTCTAGTCACTAAACACTATGTTTCCTGCAGGACACTACAACAATTTAATTAAGGACACTCCTCGTCCCTTTCTTGGGTACCCAAAATCCTTTCTAACTGTCCCTCATAGCAGCCTATCCTAGCCTTAGTGGCTCTTCACCCCTCAGGGGACACTAAACATCCACCCTAACAAGGGGGCTCAACAGGTGGCCCCTAAGGGGCGACGTCCCACTGCCCCTTTCCTTGCCAGATCGGGGCCATGGCAACTACACACTGTGGCTCTGATCTGTTACTTTGCTACTCTAAAAAGAGCTGGCAAATGCCACTCCTTTTTAGAGTGGCAAAAAGTTGCCCTTGCTGGCACAGCAGCAGCTTTTCAGCACTCCTTTGGCACAGCATGTATGAATGCTGTACCAAAGGAGCACCCTGATCCCACCCACTGCCTGTTTGGGTGGGCAGCATGAGGATGACCTGGGGGCAGAGTTGGGGCGGCTGGTGTGCGGTCATCATGCCCCCACTCCACCCCCAGGCCAGCCCTTGTGGCTGGTCTGTACAGCCTCTAACTCCAAACACTCCTTTGTCCCTCTTTTTATACTCGCTCCTGGGAGCAGCCTCCATCTTTTTTTGTCTTCACTCCCATTGGCGATTGCCAAGATTCTACTCTGCCTGTTGTCTCCACACATACACTTTAAACACATAGCCTTAAGGTAATTTTATACATGATATTTTTTAATAATTTTGTGCCAGAAACAAAGTTTGTATACACTGAATCACCAGAAAGCAAGGGTCTTACTGTCTCAGCCACCCATGTGGACAATTTTGGATTTTGGAGCATTTCAGATTTTGGAATTCTGAACAAGGGAAACTCATGCTGTATTAGAGTATTTTGTGGCTTTCAGGCTGGTGGGGCAACTGCATAAATCAGTTTTGCCTCTGATTTGGGAGTTAACCCAGCAGTGATATGTTTTCTTCCCCTGTAGCAGAACAACAACAAGAGCAAAAATAACATGTTCTCTAATACTGGTTCTGATAGGAATTGTTATGTTTGGTTTGCTTGCAGGTCTTCATTGCTGTAAACTGCCTCAGTACAGATTTCTCTTCTCAGAAAGGTGTTAAAGGACTTCCTTTGAATCTTCAGATTGACACCTACAGCTACAACAACAGGAGCAACAAACCTGTCCACAGAGCTTATTGCCAGATTAAAGTCTTTTGTGATAAGGTAAAACTACAGGAATCTATCAAACGATGGCTTTAGAAACATTGTTGTCTCCTACAGCCAGATAATTGGGTTAGACAGTCAACTCAGTAACACATGTAAGCAGGAAAAACAACAGCAATATTCTGTATATTGGATGTCATCTGCTACTTTTGGGATTTTGAGATCTAGCAAATGCAGTGTTATTCCCAGATCTGATGATGAAGAAATTACTAGGGAAAAAATGCCAGGCAAAAAGTCTCAAAACAATATGTGTGCACCAGTGTGCTATACTGATAGTATATATTCCATGTCTAGTAGAAAAAAAATAAATATAGCTAGAATTTCCTTATTTTAACTGTGAGGTGTTTAATAAAGGATCTTATTGTGTGTTTAAAAAAACCCTGCTTACCTCTCCTGAGTTGAAATTTAATTTGGGAGGCATCCAGTTCCTATTGCATGCATTTTGCCACTGAATCTATCGGCGGAGTCCAGTCCGGCTGCAAGCCACTTTTCAAAGTCAGAATACTCCTGACTTTGTAAAGCAGCTGGAGAAGCGCTCCCAAGACCTGGGCTGCAGCTGGGCTGGATTCCGCTGGTATATTTGGTAGCAAAACACATGCAATAAGACCAGCTGCCTCCCGAATTAAAATTTAACTCTGGAGAGGTAAGCAGGGTTTTTTAGTGGTGCGATAAGCTCCAAAATAGCTAACCATGCAAACTTATTTGGGTCTTCCAGATTTGACAGTTATCCATTGTTAAAGGTAATTTTATCCATGTAGTTTTATCATTAATCATTTTGCCTGTTCCTTGCTTTAGATTAATAAGGGCCTTTGTAGACTGTCAGAAATAGTGCAAATTGAGTCCACTTTAAGGGTTAGGGTTAGGGTTAGGGAATCATGGGAACTGTATTTTATTGTGGCACTAGAGCTCTCTGACAGAGAAGGCTCAATGTCTCAGGGGGAAACAACAATTCCCATGATTCCCTAGCACTAACCCTAACCCTTAAAGTGGACTCAATTTGCACTATTTCTGGCAGTCTGCAAAGGCCCTAAGTCTCATATCCAGGTGAAAAATAATGTTAGTTACTTTTATAGTTATAGATTGCACAGGAGATAAATTCTTAGTTCTATTAAACTTTTTTAAATAGATCTCAGAAAAAAAGTACTTTTGAGGACTACAACTGGCCATGCTGGTTGGAGGATTCTGGACCCTGTAGTCTCAAAAGTAACCTTTCTAGGCTCTGAAAATAAATGAAATCTATGGCATCAATAAGTATCAGTCATGAGAGAGCCTGAACTGTGGTTATTCTTAGTTTTTAGGGACATAACGTTGCACTTCACCTAATCTACCAACTTTGGCCTATATTATTTTCTTCCCATTGAATTCTGGTGTTTGCACGCAATTTGTGTCAGACAGTCATTCTGCCCCACAGATTCTGCCTAAGTTAACAAGAAATTATGCTAAATCCAGGTAGTAAGACACCTAAGAACAAGGTCTGTCTGTTTGCTTTTGTACTATTACTCAAGACAGCTTACTTTGGAGAAGCAACAAGGCAAGTTCAGACTTCTGCCCTCTTGGTCAGCTTTTGGGATGGTGAGCCCACATTTTGTTCAGTTTGGAATTTCTGTGGTCACAATTTTGCATCATTCTTTGCTTGCTTATAACTAGTAATTTCATTTAAAACCCTGCACCAATGTTGCCTGTAAGTTTTATCTTGGTTTTATCCACTTTTTGTCTTGTGCTGATTTACAGCCATTCTTTTGTGGTTATCTTGTTTTATATGTTTTTAATTTAATTTAATTTACTTGTACTTCCTTCAGAAAACTTTTAAAATATGATTGATTGAGTGATCACATAATAGCAGGGGTGAGGAAAGTCTGCCTCTCCAAATGTTACTGAACTACAGCTCCCAAAATTTCTCAACATCAACTCTGATAGTTAAGGCTAATGGGAGGTGCTGTCTGGCAGCGTCTAAAGGGCCACAATTTGCCTACTCTGGTCCATAGCCAGACATTTGGATGAGCATGGCATTAAACAAAAGTCTGGGTTACACTGGCCATTTTTTCATTTGGAAAAGGAGAAGCAGGTTTTTCAACACTGCATCTGTGTAACACTGTAAATTCATGTCTTGTACTTTTAATGTGCATAGTTCACACCAGCAGAGAGCAGCACAAGAGTAATAATAAATGAGATAATAATAAAGACCAAGGTAGAGGGGATGGCTATTCACATTCTCTCAGCCTCAGAGGAAGGCAAAGACAAACACCCTCTAAACAAATCTTCAAGAAAACCCTCTGATAGGTTCACCTTAGGGCACACAACAACAAAGTACACATGCACATGTTTTATTTAAATGGCATGTTTGAATGCCAACACAGTCTCATGGTTTGAATGTTGGACTAGGACTACAGGAGACCGGGGTGCAGATCCCCAGTCAGCCTTAGGAACCCACTGGGTGACTTTGGTTTAGTCACAGTCTCTCAGGGCCTTTGCAGACTGCCAGAAATAATTAAATTGAGGCACTGCCCTGGCTCAGTGCTAGGGAGTCATGGGAATTGTATTTTTTTCTGGGACATTGAGCCTTCTCTGTCAGAGAGCTCTGGTGCCACAATAAATTACAGTTCCCATGATTCCCTAGCACTGAGTCAGGGCAGTTAAAGTGGACTCAATTTGCACTATTTTTGGCAGTCTGCAAAGGCCTTCAGTCTCAGAAGATAAGGCAAGCCCTCTCTGAATAAATCTTGCCAAGAAAACCCTAGGATAATGTTGCTATAAGTCATAGGGAGAGAATAGACAGCCCTCAAGCTGCCCCAGCTGATGCTGGGTTGAGGTCATGGCAACTGCACACCATGGCCCCACTCCAGCTGTTTGCTGGTACAAAAAGAAGCAGCAAATTAGTTAAATTGACGGCACATAACAACTACAAAGTGTATCAAGTATATTGTCTCAATATACGCCTCAATCATTATAGACTTGGTTGAGACTAATGGGGGATGCAGACGAGGGCGTCCAAGATGCCCTGGTCCGCAGCGCCGCGGGGCCAAGGCAGCCTCACCGCGGCGCTTCCCCGCCGAATCTAAAAGGAGCGCCAAATTGGCACTCCTTTTAGATTTAAGGGAAAGTGCACCCCAAAAGCGGCAGGCGCACTTTCCCTGCCTCAAACGCCGCGGCGCGTCTGGTCGCCACGGCGTGAGGTCAACCCGGAAGCGCCGGCCATGCGGATGGCCGGCGCTTCCAGGGGCGACCTCAGGAAGAGGAAGGGGCGCCGAACGGGTGGCTGCCCCTCCTCTTCCGGGCCCGGAAGACGACTCTATTAGTCGTCTGCCGAGGCCCTCAGAGACAGTGCCCCACCTGACATTTCAGAATAATTTTTATTCTTGCATTATGCACATTTGCTTGCAATCAATTTCAGCAGTTTTAGATAGGAGACCATAACTACAAAGAATCAGTCTTAGGTTTTCTTTGTATCTGTGGATGTTGCATCAGAGTTTACTAAGTGTTCATGACTCGTAATGCTGCTGGTCTCCAAGTCTTGGTTCTAGATTACCGTAAATTGGAGTTGACTTGAAGATTTGTTGTTGTTGTGTGCCTCAAGTCATTCCCAACTTATGGTGACTCTAAGGAAAACTTATCACAGGATTTTCTTGGCAAGTTTCTTCAGAGGGGATCTGCCATTACCATCTTCTGAGGCTGAGGGAGAGTGATTTGCCCAAGGTCACCCAATGGGTTTACATGGCTGAGCTGGGATTCGAACCCTGGCCTCCAGAGTCATAATCCAGTATTCAAACCACTGTACCATGCTGGCTCACATACATAATAACAAAAACATATTGGAGAAAGCCATAGCCAATGTTTTCCCGTATAGAAAGTATATGTTTGTATAGCAAATGGTGTTATCTAAATTTATGCCTTAAAAACAGGGCTGGCCTGATCATTAGGCACCGTGAGATGATTCCATTAGTTAGTAGCTGTTGGCAGGAAAGCAGCCATGGTAGTCCCTTGGCTATTCTCCTGAGTCCTTTGGCTGTCCCTCGCTGCTGGAGGACATTGCTGTCCTTTACCTCAAGTAGCAAAATGTCTGAGGCCTGGCTGGTTAAGCTTTAAAAAACAGCTTTTCTTGCCAAACCTGTACAGTATGCATTCCTTTCTAGTTTTCTGAACACGATGAACCAGTTGATTCCACATTAAGGCTGCAGTCCATCCTAAATATGTTTACAAGGGAGTAAACTCACTCACTTCTGAGTAAACATTTAAGTGACGTATCCAAGTGGATCAGATTGAGTATGTAGCAAACTTGAAGCAGTAATTTTGATTCTTGATGGTTAGGGAAATGGACACTTCACATTTTTCTTGATCTTGGGACTATTTTTGGCTTCAGTTTCAGAAAAGCTACAGCAGTAATTGAAAATGCATACACTTTTGTAAAGCACATTTCTATCTTGTCAAAAATATTGCATCTGATTTTTTTTTTGTTTTGTTTTGTTACGGGTTGTGAAGTAGATACATAAGGTGGTACATTGGTTGAGAGATGGTGCAGCCGTTTCCTCATTGACAACCTTTTAAAACAGCTTCACAAATTCAAAACTTTCTGATTGACTTGATTGACTGGTTGGAGTGACTTCCACAATGTCTGATCTGGGAGGGACTAAACATGAGAAAAAGGCAGAAAAAAAGAAGGCAGAGAAGAGAATCACTTTAAAGGTGAAGAAAAAGAAGAAGCCTCTGAAAGCAATTTCTTCTCTGTTGATCTGACAGGGCGCCGAGAGGAAGATCAGGGATGAGGAACGAAAGCAAAGCAAAAGAAAAGGCAAGTGCACTGACCCCAGCTCCCAGCTGAATGCCTGTAAGTAGAAATATATATGTTTAAGTGCCACCTAATTTAGAAGACAAATTCAACTTAATCTTCTTTGAAAATGCAGGCAATGCCCCAACACAGTGCTTCTTTTAAAGAAGATTTACATGTGCTGACACAAGAGAGCTGTTGGTGCAATTTATCTTTATTTTACTTAGCATTCTGTTAAGGGATGGATGTGTTTACTTTGGTGAGAGGAGGGATATGATGATTAAGTAAGGAAACAGCTTGCATCTAATTGCACTAGGGATGGAAAGAATAATAGTGAGATTTCTTATCCTTGATGGGAAAGGGTGTTTCAACACTTTGAGGCACACCCTATTGAGAAAACAGTCAACTGCCACAGGATTTTTTAAATACATTGGATGTCAAGGTTTTTGTGCATGAACCATGTCTAATTTCCTCCTAAACCCCAAGGTTGTTTTTTTGTGTGTGTTCAAATGAATTGTCAACAAAAAGTTCAGAAATGAAAAAAAATTGCACAAAACCTGCTGTAATTTTGTCCAGTAGAGTGAAAACATTTGATATCCTTCATTCTTATATGTGAAAACAAAATTAGTGATGATTGCATACCTAAATTGCACCAAGGAAATGGGGGCTACCTGACAAACAGTAATTGGGAGATTTTCCATAGGATGAAGAAGAGATGATGTTGGAAAGTTTTGAGTGTATTTATTTATTTATTTAATATACGCTGCCTTTCTTCTGAAAAGGCACCCTAGGCGGCTCACAAATAAATGTATCTTGAGTCAGGGCTGGGAATGCTGATTTTGTAAAATATTTCAACATTCCTTGGGATATCAAAATGTTAACATTATATTGCTCTCCTGTTTATGGCCTCAAAAAGTATCTCAAGATTTCTTTTAAAATAAAAAAAAAGAAAAGTTTTAAAAAATTGCAGTTTGTGGAAGGTGTTTCCTGTTGTCAATTCTAGCTGTCCCATTCAATTGTCCTCTTTTCTGGCTTTTATGGGTGTTTCCTCTTCAGTACCCAATTCCAAGTCCACTGAAAAGGTATAGTCCATAATGGAGAACTTTGTAGTGAATTCCCGCTCTTAAGGTCCCCTCCCCAATATGTTCTCATACTTCTGCAAACCATGGAGATGCCTTGTCAGGTTGCCAGGTGAAATAAAGTACTCCTCTGCTTTTAATGGATGTGCAGAAAAGGGAATTTCAGCAGATGTTGCTTGTTACCTGGTTGCGTGACAAGCAAAACCTGTTGAAATTCTCTCTGCTATTGTTAGTTCTATTTTTACTTCAACCGGCTTATATATCTTTTTTCTTTCCACCAGTTTCTGATGTCAAAGTGCCCATGCTCCCATCCCACAAGCGTACAGACATCACTATCTTCAAGCCATTTATGGATCTTGATACCCAGCCAGTCCTCTTTATACCTGATGTTCATTATTCCAATATTCAGCGTGGAGCACATGTATGATTCCTTTATTTGTTTTATATTGGTGGGATGGGATTACAGTAAACAGATTAACGAAAAGGAAGAAACAAGTGTAAACTTACTCCTCGTCTGATAGCACAAAGTAACTGAGGTGGGAATTTGGTCCAGTCTCAGCTTCTGGTATAATAAACGTCTTTGTGTGCTTGGGAGTGGGAGGTGAGGACAGGTCACAGAGAATCCATGGATGCCCATCTGTTGGGGAAGCTTTGATTTTGAGTTCCTGCATGGCAGGGGGTTGGACTGGATGGCCCTTGTGGTCTCTTCCAACTCTATGAGTTTACAATGTTTATTGTCAATTATTGGGGTAATTCTGTAATTGGTTTTACTTGTAAGCCGCCTTGATTGCCATGGCAAAAGGGGGGGTATAAAATTATGATGATGATGATTCTATGATCCCCCCCCTTGAAGATTGTGATGCCAGTGGTGTGAAAGTTTTCAGTTTCTGAGCACTTTTAACTAAAATGCATTGCATCTCAGAAAATGTTCTTACAATACAGTAAATGTTTAGAGATACTTAATCCAATTTATTTATAAAGATAATTTTTCTTCACAATATCACGCATGAACACCCCCACGTGGGTCACAGTCAAGTAGCAAGAACTTTAAAAGTTCAAGAGAAATCAAGAATAAAGAGGCCATAAATAGAAGCAACAGTAAAGATCCTTACAATAGTCTCTAAACCAGAAGAGATGCATAAACCCCAGAATAGCAGCTCACAGCTCTTCTAATATCATCTGATTTGTTTTTTTAAAAAAAGAACTATTTTACTTGTCAGGAAAAAGCTAGCAGTGAGGGATCAGATCTTATTTCCTCTCTTATGAAGTTCCAGAGTCCTGGTGCCATTGCAGAAAACACCGGAAGAAAGGGAAAAAGGGAGATAATGGTTGTGGTTGTGTAGTCACGTTTTCAATGTGGGGGAAGGTTAAACACTAGAAGAGAATGGGTAAGAAGGAGGCCTAAGGACACTGGTCAGAAAGGAGTAAATTTTGTGGACTTTGTAATGGGAAAAGGTGAGGAAGATTTGGTGATAGGAGGGAATCTGTCCAGGCACAGAAAGCAGGGAGCAAAGTGGAAGACACACAGGAAAGAATAAGGGAAGGGAATAAAGCAGACCAGTAGCACATGGCTTCCCAGTTTCACCTGGTTTCTAAAGTGCTTAGCTCCAAATTGCTCAGTTGCCTTATACAGTGGAACCTCTACTTACGAATGCTTCATCCTACGAAATT